ATCTCAGGACATAACGTCCCTTTAATTTCCAAAGAGTTAAGCTAGGGACCAAAAGTTTGAGATGGAAAATCCTCTAATTTTCGATGCTCTAAAATAACATTCCTTCTGTGGAAACTCAATTTCAAATTCAATCTGTTGACACTGTAAACTCAAAAGAATGAATTTCACTCTTACTTACTTGTCTTGTCCGTAACTTCGTTCAGATAAAGGAAATTTGCGCTCTTCAGAAAATGACATAATATTCAAAGTACGGTACAGAGAAATGAGCGGTCATGTTGAGGTCCGATTTGCAAGTCAATTCAATGAGGACAATATTATTTCGCAACAGGATTTGTGGTCAAAATAACTTAAGAATCTTCTTTCTTTCTTTCTGTGCAAATTTATTCAAAAGAAAAAAGAGTCAGCGTTCTCGCTCGGGGACGGCAAACGTTATCTGTCTTTGCTCGCTCCGATCTTGTGCCAACAATCCGCAGACCGCGGGGAAAACAATGACATTTGAGGAAAAGATACCTGACGGAATTGGCCGCATGATTACTGAAAAGTAGGAAATTCTGTTTATGAATAATTTTCCACCTGGCTTCGCCGGGAGAAAAAGTAGGTTTTTTCTTGGTTTCGAGAATAAAGAAATTTATAGAGTGGTGATTTCAGAATATATTGACAAACGATACCTGATTGTCACACTATCACTGAAAAGTAGGAAATTAGGGTTTTTTTCAGGGCAAGGGTAAAGAAAGTTTGAGCAGTTATATAACAATACATGTATGTCGCGTCAGTGCAACAAGGTCGTAACTCCAATTTCTCTCGTCTCAAATAATTCCAATTTTAAACTTTTGTGGCATCATCTAATTTTTTTAATAGATATGAAACATGCAGAGTATATTTCACATGAATGAAACTATTACATGGTACTTCAATTACAAAGTTTAAAATTGGAATATTTGAGATGAGAGATCTCCTAGTTACGACCTTCAAAAAAGATTACTGAAAATTAGGAATTTCTTCAAGAATAATTTTCAAGCACGTCACAAGGAGAATAACTTCTTTTTTTTTTCCTTTAAATAATGTTTGATTGCAAATATGTCAAAGTTCTTGGAACGGTTGACAAGTCAACAAGGTTTAATAGACAAAATTCTTCAAGCTTCAATTGCTTCCCAAGAAATCTGTTTTTCATGTTACATTATCTTTTCTCCGCTTAGATTGCACAATTTGAGACATCTGCTTAAAGTTCAGTGAGACCTTGAAACCCCTGATTAACATTGCACGCATACACAGCCTGAGCTACGTGTATACATTTTTCAGTTTATGGATGACATCACTGTCTCCAAATGCAAAACTGAAAGGACAGTGACCCTGGCAAAATGGGCAGCCAAGCATGGGCTAACAAATGAACATTGCCACTGCCGGTCCCCGGTACACGGTCTGTTGGCCCGTCCCCTGCACTCCCTGTAGAAGTCCGCCGAGGATATATGGGCTAATACACTCGACATATGCACATACATTACCGGGCGGTACACATGTCGTTCGGCTAATAGTTTTAATAGGTAGTGGCTTGAAGAGTGCAGGTCCGGTTCAAGCAACTGGAACAATTCGGCCGAAGCGCGGCGTGGGACTGAAAGGAATGCCGCGCGACCACGCAGTGACCATTAGCTACAAATTTATCTGCGTTTCGGGACGGGTTCAAGAATCTCAATAGTGACGTCCACACTTTTATTTTTTAATCTGCATGCTGCGTAAAACTGACGACAAATAAATATTGTTGAATTCCACTTTTACGTGCAATCTGTCATTTGAAATGGGATTTTAAGGAAAACCAACAACTCTGGGAATAGAAGTCAAATTGAAAATTTAGAAGCGAAAATTTGATTGGAAAACGGTAATATTGTACAACTATAGGCCGATATTGGTTATTACTTAAAATAAAGAGGAAAGTTTCAAATTTACCGTTTCCACTTTTTATTTTTTTTGGTAAAGAGAACTTCAAGTACATTTTGCAATTTATAACTTAAGTTTTGTTAATCATTTCTTTTCTCTTTAGCAATTGAAAATAATTAATCATACAAGGCTATTTTCAATACCCAACAGTGTTTTGGGGATTTAACTTTATTTTTTATTATATTTAAAAGGGGCAGAACCACAAATGTAAGATTTATATTATGCAAAGTACCATACATGTACATGTAGGTAAATTTTACTGAACACCACTCTTACTGCAACAAGTCAGCTTAATCCCCGGCGAAGTCAATGTTCACATTTTTCCACGCCAGCAAAATTTCCATGCTTTAACCCCCGATCAGTGCAACTGCCAGGTAATATTATGAGTACAGATTGGAGCTTTTGCGAAGAATCGCGATCATCGTTAGCGCGCGTATTGCATTACATCGTTTAGCTCAGCACCGAGGACAGGGAGATACATATAATGATTACGCGGGCTCACAATTACGACGCTTCAATTTTGAGAACGAAAAGCAAAAGAACTTGTTTTTCCTCTCGTCCCAGAGAAAATTATTTCTGGAGAAATCCCATGATCTATGACCAACAGCTGCTAGGTAAAAGACCTTTTTTTTTACTTTAGCTTGATATTCAGAGATCATGCTTTTTTTTACCAATTTTGGGAAAAACCTGATCAATTCTAATATCGAAGAAATACTGGGCAAGATTACACTGTAGTTGACACACATTTCCTTTGACCCTAACGACCCCGAATCCATCATAATTCATACCCCTGTTTTGGAGTGTTGAGGCGGATTGAGGACACCTCCATATTGAAAACTGGGGGATTTTGATGGTTTCAGGATTGTAAGCCTAGCGGTACTGCAGGATTTTGATGGATTCAGGATACTTCCATACCGAGCAGTCACCAACACCAACATTTTTGTGTATGACACAGTAGGTGGATTTTGGTGGATTCAGGATATTTTCTAGTAAAAGTGCTTAAGGGGTTAGGGCTAATATAAGAACAACTCAGACATGTTGTTGTTGTTGTTTTGTATTAATGTTTCCTTTTGTGTGTGTTTTGTGTGATTCTGCGTAACATGCACTTTGTCTTCACTTCCCAACCCAACCCCACTTTCTCCTCGAAAACAAGAATAACTCAAGCCCGACAAAAACCACACTCGGCCGCCATAAATAAAACTTAAGCCCCGGTAGGGTTTCCTAAGCGAAAGCCTTCTGGTATAACCGGATGAAATATGGCAACTGCTGACGACGATTCCCGCCAACCGTATATGGCTTCCAATGATAAGCTACGATCCAATTTCGCGTTGAAGCATGACGATGAACGATTACAACTGACCGCGAATTATCGCTTCATATGTATTCGTTCTGAAATTGTGATGTATCACAGATCGCAGAGGTTCATGAAAAGGGTCATAAATACATTTATGCATCTGAGATAAGCAAGTGTTTACGTGTAGTTCCACTTTGAAGCACAGGGTTTTAACAATTTTACATAAAAAAAACATTGCCCCATATGTATTTCTTCCTTGATTTTGATGATTGAAGATCATGTATATCAATTCATAAAAAACTTGGAAGGATTTACATTTTCATGGGTAACCATTTTGCTTCATTTCCTAACCACTTCTCTGTACACAAGCCCCTGACAAAAATTATTACAAGCAAACGGGCACCATTTTGAGGACATTCATGTACCGAACTGACATGTAGTACATATGTTCATATTAAAATTATATTTTAGTCCAAAGCCCACATCAGACATGTTTTAAATAATGCATCCATTAAAATGGAGAAACCTGCATTGAATGTACTTTTTCAACACTTTCAGTCTTGGCGTGGTGCATGTATATTTCAATATTTAATGGTTTAATTAATTTATAGACAAACCCAATGAGCAGTTACTGTATTTGGTCACAGAAGCGAGACTGCAGTGAACTGTGCATGCTCCATAGTATAAAGGATTGTGCACTTTTCTTGCAAATTTTTGCCGTTGGAGCATTTGTAGCCAGCAAAGCATCTTCCTGAGTGTCCCTTTAACCTGGCCATTGACATTTTGGTTTATGTACATTCAAGAATAATTCAACAAGTCAGGACGAACATTTTTTTTATTTTGAGTGGACTTCTATCTTCCTGAGTGTCCCTTTAACCTGGCCATTGACATTTTGGTTTATGTACATTCAAGAATAATTCAACAAGTCAGGACGAACATTTTTTTTATTTTGAGTGGACTTCTACAGACTCAGTCGGCTGGTACCAACGCAATGACACAAAATTCCTAAACAGTTGGGCGCTTTCACATTGGAGTGTGCATTTGCAGGTACTACGGGAACCGGGCACCCATTTGACAAAAAAACACTGGTACCGGGTACCTGTTAAAGAAACCCAACCCCAAATTTGAATCTCGGAAGTTTCTGTTCAGATTGTTCATAAAGATCTGCACAATAATACTGCCACGTTAATACAGCAATTTCTGTGTGTACAGTGAGCTTTACAGCTTTATGGTCAAAACTGCAACTTTTGCGAGCGTCATAAATGTGAAATCTGTGTTTTGGTTTTTCCAGGTAGCCTGGTTTTCACTTTGAAAATTCCCCACAAATGACATTCAAAACCTTTCTTTCTCATTGTCTGAGAAGATACTTAAGTAATTTGTAAAGTTGGTTACTGGTACCCGATCCCATAATCTGGAACCAGTTCCTGACATCAGCGGTCGGATACTCCGTACCCGGTACCGATGCACGGCCCTACTCGCACACATCACTTTCAGTACTGTCGCCAGTTTCATTTTTAGACCAATCCTAGGCTATCACTGTAAACCCACCGAGGCCCCCATCAATGGAGGAAGCATTGAGCTAGCTATTGTTCAGATCGTCATGGGGCAGTTGCTGTGTACAATAGCTAGCCCAATGCCTTCGCCATTGAAAGGGCTTCCATGAAAGTGCAGTGACAACATGCTTTGGTCTACGCAGCTGAGATAAACATCATGACGTAAACTTTACTCAGAACACAATTCTAAACTTTTGGAAGGAAATATAAAAGCTCCTTACCTTGGGCGGTGACCTTTTGGGGAAAGCGACCTTGGGGTCAATCTGAAACAAGAAGGGAAAGCAAAAACGAAGATCAACAGAGTGCAAGATTAGATAAATAAATCAATCCAACGGTTTTGCAGTTGGCAACAATACCTCCGTGCAGGCCGTTGTCCTTCCAAAGGAAATGTTACATCCAATGAATAACACAGCCGAGGGGAAATCTATTCCATGACCAAACTCCACTTGATTATTATTTCTGCTCGACCTTGTTTAGGGAGAGTTGTACAGTTCCTATGCAGACAGACAATGTCTGCCACTTTAAATAATGTTTTCACACACTGACTCCTGTGTGCTTATGGGGAAAGAAAAATCGACAATTTCTATAACATGCGCCATCGCCTGATTAAATTCTCGGTTAGTTTGCTGTTTCCTTTTCTCAACATCCAATTCCAGCACTTCGCTCATTTGCTTTATAGTATTTACACATAATTCTCTTGAAACTTTGTATTATTTTTAACATTCTAAATATTTCATGGCTGCATATATCGAGAGCTTCAAGCAAATTCATGTTTAAGTGCATGTTTAAAGTGTATGTTTAGTTGTGTTTATTTTACAATGTTTAATATAAAAAAACGAGACTACATTTTGATGTACATACTTTTGAGAAAACCGTCTAAACAGCGTTTAAACATTTAAGACACTTGTCATTAATCCTAACCTTCCCAAATCCTCCAAAATCCTCTTTGTAAGATGGAGGATTTGGCAGGATTGAGGCTACATTTTTGTATATGGCAAAAATGTGTCATCTTTTGCCATATACATTTGTAAGCCTAAATCCGGCGACATCCTCAATTTTGCAAAGAGAATTTTGGAGGATTTGGGAAGGTTGGGGTTAAAAAATAATTGAGACTTGGTAGTGGTAATGCACACATCACTTGAGCCAATATCATACTGCTGATGATAAAAATCTTGAGTTGAAAAAAAATTGAACCGAACACAGCATTTGTTGAACATTTGTTCACCAAATACACGTAAAGTGCTAAGTCACTATACAGACAACAGCACTATTCTGGACCATACAAAGGAAAACCACACATCCCATATGTTAACACCAATTTCTGCTGAACACAATACACTTTGTAAGGTTCAACATCCACAAGTACATTTTCCCCCAATTTCACATTCTCTTCTGGTGGGAAAAATGCTCCATTTTGCCTCACGACCATACCCTCGCTGTCAAAACAATTACGCACCATGTTATATGTGACACTCGTCAGTAAGAACATTGGGGGGGGGGGGGGACCAGAGTGCAAAAGCAATTTTCGAGATGTCACCCAACGGTGTCAGGCTAATTCATAGCTCGACATTCTCCATGCTATTTAGAACAGAAACGGGTGCCTTCAACTTTGGCCGACTGAAAGGGTTCACGGATGTGTAGTGCGGCAGGAACATAAAGAGAACGTTGTCTCCCAAACAAAATGACAAGTTAAGCCTATTATTAACTCTAACCACCCTGAATCCATCAAAATCCATACCCCTGTTTTGGAGTATTTCGGCGGATTCAGGATACCTCCATATTGCAATACATAAATGTGTCAGAAACAGTCTGGTGCAATCCACAAGGTGTTGGCACTGTGTACTGAGTCTTCCAGGAATGTGACCACATGCACATTCAGGTATTTGTACATGTACATCAATGTGACAAGGCCGTTAGCGCGGACTGCCTACGGTGATTATGGCTACATGACCACAAACAACTTAAAGGGATGCAATTTCCTCAAAAAACAATATTTCTCTGTCGCTTTCTTTAGTGTGGCCCCACAGTGAATTTTCTTTGTACAATGCAACAGGGCTCACGGAGACCTGCATATATATGCACTGTCACATTATTCTTAAGTATCAAAACAATATTCTTTTTCTCTTATATTAAGTCAGCAAAATTTCACGGATATTTTCAGCAAATTTCACAGGGATCTATAAAGGGAATACAACGTTTGCTTTTGTTGTAATTTTCAGAAATGGATGGATTTGGGGGGTAAGTATTTTATAGCAAATATTGTTACACTGACTTGTTTAACATTTTGGTTTCGTAGATGCCAGAAAGTTCTTGTAGTCTGGTTCCCTGACTCCACTTAAGATGAAACGGAGCAATTTACAGACGTCGGGAATGGTAAGGTCAGGGAACCAGTCTAACTGGTTTGTACCTGTTCACAGGTGTGTAATCAATTGCAAAGAAAATGCAGACTAACTAAATATGATAAATTGGGAGCAGTATTTGAAAAAAGCCAGTGTTTTTCCAACGCTGGTCGGCCGACCAGCACTGGAAATTATTGGCAGCATACCAGGTGCCTAGAGTTACATGTAACAAACAGGATGCTTTAGACTGTCATTCACTAACAGTCCAGTAAGGTATTTCATGATAATTTGGTAGTTTTGTTTTCTGATGTTTGCAAATGTTGTAAAAAAAAACTCCCTATGAAATTTCATTGATGTAAGAAAATTTTACACAGAATAGCAGTTACATTTAGATGTAATATTTAGTCAGCAAAATTTCATGGATATTTTCAGCAAAATTTCATAACGATCTTAAAAAAACAAAAAACTCCTATGAAATTTTGTTAAAAGAATTACAAAGAAAAGCAGTTTCATTTAGATGCTCATAGAAAATGCTTTCATCTTACGATATACCCATTCATTCCAATGCAGGAAATGGACTTTACACAACCCCAGACTGCCCGACAAAAGATCTCGGGTTCCTGAAATTCTACATGTGCGTTTTGGCACAAAGGGTTATGAACTACATACATGTTGATTCTTCATTGGTAATCTATCAGTAAAACGACAGGGAGTTTCCAGTTTCAGTTGCTAGTTAAACATCTTTCCAAGTAATTTTCAATGACCGTCCTTTTTTTTCTTCTTCAGTTTTGGTTTCGGTTTTAAACAGGGCAGGTAACGTTATTTGATATTTACAATGTCTGTATTGTTTTTATGAAAACAAATATGAGAATCTGTAATCATTAAAAGGCTGTAAATAAAAAATAATTTCTTGTCACGCAAACTTGGAGTTTTAATGTTGTAATTTTAGTTTCTGCTTCATCAACATGAGGTCTGAGCAAAAAGTGTCAGCGTAAAGCACATTTTTCATTAGTCCAAAAAATTGGGACTCTCAATAATGTGTGTGAGAGTTCCAAAACTAAAGGTATTGAAAACATACAATACAAGAAAATAAACTGGCACATGAAACAACCAGTCCAACACTGCCTCAGTACTGCATTAATCAACTGTGCCAAAAAAAAAACATGTGGCATGTTAGGAACTAGTCTCTATTTACTACACATTTCTCCATAGTCAGCCACCAGACTAATGACACTGAATGAAGAGGACAGTCTTTTCAAACAATTGGACCAAAATCACTTGACTTCCCTCATGTGCATAATATTGAGAAAAAAATGTCTATTTTTTTAAAAATTGATTTGAGTCTTCAAACTAGCAAGAGATACTGTAGCAACAAGCATGTGTAACACAATGTAAAAAGAAAATTTTACACAATGTTATACATTGTATATAATTATACAAATTTAATACAAATTGTATACAATGTTATACAATGACTTCCTCTGAAAGGGAAAAAACTGTGTAATGCCATAAAACAGGGAGGGCAATTAGGAAAACTTTCTGCAATAGGATTCAATACATATTTGGGTACTGTTTTAAAATCAAACATGTTTTGGTTTTTGGTTTTGTTTTTTATTTGCACATTTTCAGAAATGTGCTTTTTCAATTAATAAGATAAATTCTCGCATTTTGACCAAAAAAGTTACAAAAATTACATGAAAAAGTATCAAACATTTAACCCTAATATTGGAGACTTGAATAAAAAAAAACAACACTTAGTGAATTACTCTTTCAAAATCAATCAACTCCAGTGAATAAATGACAAAATTCCATTCCTGCAAAGCCCATCAAATCCACATAAACCTAATGGGTAACTGCCTGTCCCGCCCGTTGCTTTTCGCCCATTATCCCTCCTGATAAAAGATCCAAGCCGGATTAAACACAGCTATGCCCCGCCATTCACCCAAAACTCCTGTTGACAACTTTCGTGTCGAACCAGCAATTCAAAAATTTGTCGTGGACGACCGTGTGAAACTTTTCCAAAATCGGCTCTCCCCAAACTGGTGTATTTTAAAGGTATACCCCTTTTGAACTGTCCAATTATGTTTTTTGAATGAAATAAAGTGGTGCGTTTTGCTTTTCCCTTTAAAGCTCTGGGCAAGCCCCACCCATTGGGTTTTGTTCGTCGCAGTTCAACGAGCACATGAAGAGAAGTACAATGGTGTATTAGTATAAGGCCATGCGCTCAACAGTTTCACTTCAAAAGACCTTCGACAGACGGGCCACACAATGAACAGGACGCAAGTACATTATGGGAAAATACCCACAAAGTACGTCACTGGTAGGGGGGAGGCTCAGACCGTGGAAGTAAAAATACCGGGAGTGGTATTGTGCAATTTGGACGGAACCAGACAGTCTATGACTGGGAACAGATAAAAGAATTGGTGTTTGCTGGACCTCTCAAAGAAACAGGGGAGACAATGTGACAGGAGGTACTTGAAAAGGAGTTTTTAAAGAAAAGCAACAAGTGCTTGGTCGCCAGGGTTGCAAAAGGGGGAGAACCTTACGATAGGCAGACAGAAAATAGAATGGCAGTATGTAAATATTTGAACACAAAAAATGTTGTTTTTAAGTTTTGAACTTTACACAAGAAAAGAAAGTGAAGTTAATGAACTGTACAAGAACATGTAGAACGAAAAACTATTACTTTATTTGCAGGGAACCATTTAACCCTAACCCTCCTCGCTCCTATGAAATCCTCCTGGCGGTTTTGGAGAATTCTAGAGAGGATTGAGGATGAATGGTGATTGAATCACATGAGGATTTTGGAGGATTGAGGATGAATGGTGATTGAAGCACATGAGGATTTTGGAGGATTGAGGATGAATGGTGATTGAATCACATGAGGATTTTGGAGGATTGAGGATGAATGGTGATTGAAGCATAGGAGGTTTTGTAGAATTGAGGATGAATGGTGTTTGAAGATGAGGATGATTTTGGAGGATTGAGGATGAATGCATTTTGAGGCAGGACTGTCTGATGATTTTGAAGGATTTAGGCATTGGTTGTCCTTCATTTAAACACGAGTGCAAAATTTTGGTTAATACTTTTAAAGGTTTTGTTTTGTTAAAATATCAAAACAAAACTTGATCATTTGGGAAACATGTAAAATGAGTTTTCTTGAGTGCATGGAGGCACTGATGCAGCTACTTATCTACATGTAGTTATCTTTAGTGGTGGGATTAAAATCCAGTTTTAATCGAATATTCAATTTCGAAATTCACTGATTAATTAATGTGTACAAGTTAATCTTGTGTCAGCCTAAACTAATTTGCATGCGCCTGTGCTTGTCGAAAAATTGGCAATGGGCGGGTTAACATAATACAATGGCTGAAATTGACCTATTTTTAGAAATTCCCCAATCATGCGCGAAAGTGGTTTTTCAACATAAGAGTGGCATTTGACAAACAGCTAACCACCCAATTTCTATGATTAAAATTATATGATGGACGTGGGTTTTTTTATCATCAACGCCAGATCCCTCGGATTTTTGGAAAATATGAAAGAAAGAATTCTATTCAGATTTTCAGTTAACCCTTCTTTTGTTTGATCAGTCACAGACAGTCAAAAATGCAATCCTGTTCCCCTGTTATGCCTTTTACACAGGCTAGTCACCAACTGTCAGATCATATTTCAAGCAGGCACTGTGACTAGTCAAGTTCAGTCAACAGACAAAAACACGCAAGTGATTAGCACAGCTGGCTTATCAATCACCTACAGTCAAAGCATAGCTGTATCACGTTACACAAACAGTCACAGCCAGTCAATCCTGCTTTATGTAGGCTGGGAGTTCTTACTGTTAATAACAGTCACTTGATTGATTTGACTGAAAGGACAACTTTGCATAGAATGTTTGTTTACATAGGAGGGTTGTTCAAATATCGGGTATTATCAGCCCAGCTTTATCAAACATCCGGGTACACTACGCATGGTGTGGTTAACATGCAATGTGTTGACTAAAACTGCATCAAAGAATTTTCCAAGGAATAATTAGAACTTCGAAACCTACCTTTTTACTGTCTACTTCATGGCGGTCTGTTTTTAGCACTTTCTCTACGCACTTGGGGTCGCCGAACGTGACAAACCCGAATCCCCTGGAGAGGCGAAAGAGAAAACATGTGAATCACGCGACTTGTCGGAACTTGTCCCTGTAGAGTACTTAACAAGGCAACGGATACTTCCCTGAGATTTTGTTACAAAATGAAATTTCGTGATACAGTTGACTCTCGTTAGTATAGTGGAGTATACTAACATGGCGCACTTTGACATTCCCCTCGACTTTTTCTCATGCAGTGTTGCCAAATTCTCTTTGTTGACAAACTTCAAATTCATTCAGTTATTACACTGGTACTTTAACCTTAATAATACTTGCTGTTGAACCTCTGTGAACAATTTCAGTGTCATGAAATTCAGTCCGAAACTCAAAAACGGTGGCGTCTGGAAACTGGACACAAAATCGGCCGAGTGTTCCCTAACAAGGCGCACTTGATCAAATCTCGGAAAATCCCGCGTTTACATTACTGAATTTTTGTTAAGTTGACAAATTCTGATAAACTATTATCTCCACTCACATACTCAAGTAAAAGTTTGTCAGAAAATTATTTTCTTATTTTTGGACGCATTTGAAAAAGGGTTCAGTGAGCTTTTCAATAATATAAATCGGAAAATTAAGTCACAATAAATTTCTCAGTTAACTTTGTAACGGGTAGGTAAACTCAAGATTAAATGGGGAATGTTAAGAGCTTGATGAAATTTCACTTACTGTGAAATATGAGGTAAACTTTTGCTCTAGCAGGGCACTAGAGGCAAAAAATCAAACGTTCAGGGACATCAACAAAAAAATAAGTTGAAAATTGGGGAGTCAGGTTGGTGTGGCGGTACTTTCCTTGCCTTCCACCGCTGTGATCCTGGCTTGATTCCTGCCTGGGCCAATATGTGGATTGGGTTTTCAGTCCCTTTTTGATTCCGTGGGTTTCCTCAGAATATTCTTCTGGGCTTTTCCTCCCACCTCTAAAACTATAACTTCTTCACATTGTCTTCTCTTTACTGGGCCCCATGGAAGACCAATGGATTCCACTGAATGGGCTACCCAGTTAAGATAAGAATTAAATAAATAAAGAGTACTGCAGTACATCTTTAAGATGTTTCATACACCGTTTTACTATATTTTTGACGACTGAACAAAAGCACATTGATAACAATATGAATAAGATGTTCAACCAAACACATTACCTTGCCTACAGAGGCTGGGTTAAAATTATAGATGTGCACCAACTTAGAAAATAATATTGCACGTCTAAAAACCTTCCGTAAAACAAAATTCTTTCATTTTAAGTTCCCCTTAAAGTTACAGCCACAATTGTTATGCAAAACAGAATGCATAAAATAGCAAGCTGAATTTGTAGATGACGTTTTCATCATCCGTTTTTATCATCCCTGATTGGTATAAAATTTACCTAGGGAATTTTGTCTTGAAGATGATTTGACGAGATTTCTTGATTTTCTTCTTTTTTTTTATTTCTTTTTTTTACACTTACCTTGATTTCTTAGAGGAAGGATCCCGCATGATAACGCATTCCTTGATATCTCCGTACTTGCGAAAGTAATCCCTTAGGCTATCTGGAATTTTAAAAGCCAAACAAAAAAACTTGGTTAACTTCGATCAGAAATTAACAATAAGTCAACTATGATATCATGCCAGGCAATTAACATAACACTATACAAATAATGAATGTTTATGAGTGCAATGGTAAGAATAACTTCATGAGGTAACAGATGGAATGTTCCATTCCACGAGGTGAATGAAACATTCCATCTGTCAACGAATGAAATTATTCTTTCCATTGCAAAAAAGGTTAAACATTCATTGTTTGTTATATACAACACCTGAATAAATCCTTGTCATCTGATCGGTCAGAGCCACCAATAGTGTGACCGTGCAAATTTGGAACTTCTATTTACCGTGGAATAGAACTTCTATTTTTGTGGTGCGGCCGGGCCAGGTTAGGACGAATAATTCAATGACATGTGATCAACGACCAACCAATCAGATGACAGGGATTTATTCAGGCGTTATTTAAGAATGAAAGTATTGAGTCCAGGGCCCCAGGGAGAACAGTTCTTAGATAACTGATGGGGCTACCCTGGTAAAATAAAACGATAAACAAATAATTTTAAAAAAAGTAAAAATACCAAATCAAGATTTTGTTCAAAATTTTTGAACTTGGATGTTTTGTTTTTTTTATTACTAAAGGAAGAAAAAATTATTTATGACATGTTTGTGTTGTGCTGGCTATTATATTTACATGTAAGAATTGACAGAAAAGATAGGACAGATTTTTTAATTCCGTGAAATACTCTGATGGCAAAGGCTTACAACTAAATTGCCTAATCCCGTTTTTATACGGCTTGAACCCTTCCACCTTTTAATTAAATCTTGAAATTGATGCAGCCGCATTATTTTTTATTGCCGGGATTAGCCTCGCGACAATGGCCGACGTCTGCCTGCAGGGGCTCAGCGGGTAATACGCACCAGATGGCCGTACGTCAGACCCCGGCGCCAACCTACGACCGCTAAGTCCGTAAGAATCAACTCCAGAACAAAATATCTGACTCAGTCAAACCATATTTTACATGCTTTTTTTCCCTTCGATAAACCTGATACGAAAAGGATACTACACTACATCTTGCTATAAACTCTGCTGCACTAGTGTACAGAAAATCGAATTTTATAGTCTTTATAAATAAAAAGTCCTGACCGAAGTCGGGGTGTGGCGAATTTTTTGTTTTCTTAAGACAACTAGAAGTTACGGCAAATTTAATCCAGGGATCCAGGCTGGATTTTCGCAAGTTAAGATTTTGTTTGGATTTTGCAAGTAAAGTGTTCAATCTGCATCTTAACTTTTTGGTGTGACATTTTCTTCTTTTTGCAGCGAAACAGTCTCTTTATTTTAAATTTTGATTCAGCTGGAAAAGGACGATATTAATTAAGCATGAGGCGAAAGTACAAGTGGATTTTTTTTCTTTCTTTTTAGTTTTTTTACGGTAACCTCAACAGGATTATGCGAACCTTAGAAGCCATCGTAAATCAGGTCGCGCAACACCGCCAAAATGTTCCCCGGCATTCAATGTCCCTAGGACCAAAAAACCCAAGTGCTTCACCGCGACGCCTCTCTTGTAAATCAGTTTATCGCATTACACAGCTTTTACACAAACGCCAGATAATTTAGTGACTTGCTTAATGCACAGTATAAACACAAGCATGACCTACATGCGTTAACCCTACCGACAAAATTCAAATTATCTGACAACTACGCCTTTATTTTCCCTAGCCTTGAGACATCAAGGAAAAATGAATAATACATTAACACATGACAACAAGCTTAATTGCACACGCTTGTGAATATTCATAAATGCTACACTGTTCGATCTTTTTAAGGTCACTTGCATGCAACTCTAATGGGGCCTCCATTTGCACCTAATTTAAAATTAATAAAAATGTTCGGTGACCTTAAATAATGCCATTATGAGGTTCCGTGCATCGTCCTAATGGATATGATGATTATTTTAACAGCAGTTAATGAAAAGAGGAATTTTTAGTTCAACCCCTGACATTAAATTCTTGTCTTCAAGTAAATTTTTGATATGAGTGACCTTCTACTGTGAACAATTGTCCAAGGTGTCACGAAGGAAGCAGGTTTTTTTTTTAGGGGTCCTATTACGTGACCTCACAGGTCTAAATGGACATGAAGAGGCAAAGGCAGTGCTTACTAATACACTCAACGGTACCAGATATACACCTCATATGTGCACTGCATTCCGTGAATATGGGCCAGCGCACAGCACCCCACGGCAATGCAGTGCCTCACCTAGACCCGGAACGAAAAAAAATGGATCAAGGCCGTGATAATGCTGTTTTTAAGCTAGCCAACCATGTGTGCGCACGCCCGCGTTAGCATTAGCGAAGACAAACGGCAATGCAACAGCACAGCCGTGGATTATTAATACACACGCTACTAGTCCGAGCGTGAAGGCTGAAGCCGCAAGTTTGACACGATGGAAACTGAACGAAAAGCCCAGGCGGGCATCCGCGTGGAAACGAAAATAATATAAATGCGCAGAAAGGCGGTCACAGTCGATAACAACTTCAAGTATTTGTCCAGTAGCTGTGCACGGAACTGGCCCCATGCATGTGAACATTTATACACACAGGCATATCTTTACATGGTTTTCCTGTGACGAAGCAATTTCATTAATTAAAATCAGTGACCTGAATGTTATGACTACTGGCACACATAATTGTGCAGGGTTTTTTTTTCTCCGATCTCTACCTCGGCCCCTCTTCTTGTATTTTCTCTTAACTCAAGGTTGAGCATGCATCGCTGTACGTCAGCTTAAGTGGCCGGCATTGTGAGAAGAATCGCCAATATCGCTGAGCCGACCGGCCAGGGACAGCGCTGCGTTGCCCTGAGCTACAGCGGGGTAGAAAAAAATGTAGGGCAGCCGCAGGCATGGGCACCGGTCGGTCCACTGTAGAAGCACTGGCACCGCATACTGCTTGACATTCAACGCGGACGGGAACCGATGTCCACGATACTAAAAAAAAAGCATCTCACTTTTTATGCACGCCATTCTCCCAGCATCAAGGTATGTCGGATCCCCACTGTATATATCCTAGTGTGATACGGCATAGTGATAATCGGCTTCGCATTCTCCGGCTTTGTGTCGGCTCTCTCACAGATTGCAATTCCTTTGATCATAGTGAAAACCTTCGGGTCATTTTGCGGTTTCGTCTCCACTTGCGGAAGTTCCATTTGCAGCCAATACTCTTCTTTTTTTTTTCCTCTGCCATCCGACGCATTAATGTCGGATTGAAGTGCAAATTGTTTTTCTCCTGCAATTGCAGCAAATCGGGAATTCAATTTGCACGTATACTTCTTCTGAAGTTCTGGGCTCCATGTGATGCAACTTATGTTGACATTTGCCCGATGTTGTTGTACACTGTATACACATTGATGACCACCTCTGTAGAAACTGTTCATGTTTTGTTGTTGTTTGGCATGTTGGTGACCTCCGGCATGACCTCCAAACATTTCATGACCTTATATGGATGTAAACCTCTGGCTCTGGCTGTTGACCTCTGACCTTTCCCATTTATAACTTTCTCGATATTTATTAGAATATCAGAGTGGAAATTTATTTCTGTTGGGAATATTTATCGTCCAAAATATAAACCTGATGATTGTGAAAATAGTGTAAAAATAGTCCAAGAAAAGGTTAAAAAAATTTAAAAAATATGTAAATGCCTTACCTGTTTCTGTCTGCCAACTCAGCCCGCCTATAAACATTTTCCTGTGGACAAGAAAAACAAATGAGAAACAAAATCGGGGTGTATTGGAATCCATTTTCACTCAACCAAGGTTAACTAAATATACTACACCGACAAAAATACCCTGCAAGGCTACAGCGCTGACTGACCCCGTACTATAGAATCACATGTAAAAACCTGTCCATAGGATTTGCGTGCTGAAAGATCCCCGTTCCATTGTGCTGTGCACAACACAACACACTCATCACACGAACGGCAATTGCCAATGCATGCAGCGTACTACAGCTGATCATCCAACGAGACAATCTAAGCCTTCACCCGGCCCAAAACGAGCCCTAAAACACCCCTCTCTGTCGCACTGCTACTCACCCAGGATCGTTGGCGATCTCCGTGCCGTGTACGTTGGCGTTCTGGGTGTTTCCTGCGTCCATGATTCGTGGGGATTTATTCCTATTTTTAAAAATCTACGCTACTAAAAACTGAACTAAGGTACAGATGAGTCCTACGGTAGTGAATGTACGTATGGTGTGTGGTCACACGCGCCTTTTGCTATGCTAGCTGCGGATACACGATGGTACAGTGTGGTAAATGTCCGTGTGCGGTTTTGTACGCTAGGCCACTATAGTAATAATACACGCAAAGGCAGCACACCGCGCCAATATTACCACACGTGGGATACTACACTACACATTGCATCGCGTGTGTAACATGCACGTATGCTACACACACGGCCTCAAACGTGGGTGGCGCTATCACCGCTTTGTCAACACAATTCTGAATGAATGACCAGTGATTGACAGCCGGCTGAGCCATTTGATTGGCTACTCCCGCACGGTCCGCGCGCCGGTCACTCGGCGGTCACTGTGACCTGATGACGTCACAACCAATGTTGATATTAAATTATGCATATCGGGCACACCTTTATTTTCCGTTCTCAAAATACATTTCCTCTCGAGCCGTTGTTGGGTAATTGTTGTTTTTTTAGATTCCGCGTTCGTAAAAGAAGAAATGGAGTCAGCACGTCACCGCGGTTCATGTTTGATCAATGAATTTGTTTTCTAGACTCTTGTTTATCAGTTAAACTTTGCACGGATCAGTGCCTCAGAAATATCAAAGCTTTTTAAGCTTTTTATTTAGAGCTTAATCATTGTATTTTTGTTAGGCGTTTTGTATACCATAAAACACTCTCATTTTAAACCTTTTGATAAACACTTTTTTCGCATTTTCTATTATATTTTTTTACAAAGTCTTCATTTTATGAGGCGCCCTTTAATGACTTTATTGCAAAACAAATGAACATAAGACGAAATAAATAAATATAGGACGAAACAAATAAATATAGCATGAAACAAATAAATATAGGACAAAACAAATAACTATAGGACGAAACAAATAAATATAGGACGAAACAAATAAATATAGCATGAAATAAATAAATATAGGCAAAAACAAATACATATAGGACGAAACAAACAAATATAGGACGAAACAAAATAACAAATATAGGATGAGAAAAAAGTATATATGACAAATAGTTGCAATATATTATATATATAAACGAAGCTAGTTTCGTCCTAATTCGTCCTACATTTATGTGTTAGTCCTACATATATTTGTTTCGCAATAAAGTCATAAGGGCGCCTTATATTTTCTTGTTCATTTAAAAAGTACAACTCATTTAACATTATTGAAAAAAAAGAGAGATCAGTTAAGTTTTTCATTAACTTAAGTATACTTAATTATTACATCAAACATATACATGTATTTAAATACACTATCTGCGTAATTCAATTAGATAAATATAAATTATATAAAAATATATAAATACTCAAGAAAACGCATTCATTTTCCGTTTTGCCGCAGCTTGTTTCAATGCCACCGTTTTTCTGCTTTTCAGAATCGTATTGTATTGATGGTTTAACTGGCATGTTCCCCTATTACATGTGTATGACCACGAATGCTTTTGCAACAACAAAATGTTTTAATCCTTATTTTACTGTTGCTCACGACACCTTCGTTGCACTGAACTATTTATCTTTCACACTGGCCATGCACCTTCCCCACACAAAAAAATATGATCGATCGATTCATTAGGTATCGATTGGATTAGGCCGAGGCGCGGCCCGGGCGCCCGTGATAGCGAATCTGGGTATATCGATCAGCAATCGAGGTGCTATTGTGAAACTAATCCGATATAGAGTGAATGACTCTGCATTGGTGAGAATCAAGAAGAACCTTGTAAACTTATTAAATAATACAAATGTAAAGCACAATCATTTAGGAACTAGAAAGCACTCAGAGAGCGCAAACCTCCGCCAAGGCTAAACAATTCCCCGCCATATTGTGGTGTGTTTTTTTTTAACCCTGCATCCAGACCCAGATCCGGATCACTTCCAAAATCAAATCGATTTGTACTTGTACCAAGGACCACCCCTAAAAACATTTCATGCAAATCTGATAACTTTGTGAGTTATCTTCATTCTTGTTAAACAGACAAATCAACCAACTAACCAACCAACCAGCCAACAAACAAACTAACCAAATCCGATGACAAACATAACCTCCTTAGCGGAGGTAATGAAGTCTCTAAAATTACCCCCTCCCGCCAAACCACCCCCCCCCCCAAAAAAAACCACCTGGTTCGTCCCCATCGCCCTATTATATTCCCTGTCACAAACAAACAAACTTGGGAAGGAAGGAAACGCAAGTGTCACAAAGCATTGTGGGTAGGTCACTTGCTGTAAACAATTAACATGCATGTACTGGGTCATGCGGACACGGAAGTGCTGACCTCAAATCATCGGTTAAATACAATCCAAGGAACATATGGACGTCGACAGGATTTTTTCCAGAGGGGGGCAAAGCATTATCCCAAAATCCTTTCTCTAGCATGCTCTCAATTTTTCGAGGGTAGGCGGGGGACATTTTGCCCACCCCACCCCACTGACACCCCTGCATATACGGACGCCCATGTTGTTACTGTGCATTAAATAAACAGCATTATATCTTCGCACCTCTTTTTGTCCCGGGGGTGGGGAGGGACAAGCCCTACCCCTCCTGGAGACGCCCATGCCAACCCTACATTTTACACATGCACATGCATCAGTAGGCCTACATGGGCTGGAAATCGTTGTGGATTTTGAATCGGTGTCTTCCAGAAATAAGCAGCGGAATTGCGAAGTTCATCTCAGAATTGGGGCACGACAGTATACTACACCGATGGTTGTAATTACCGAGGATGCTTTTGGGGGCAACGGCCAGTCGGGACCCATGCGAGGGGGCAAAGACCTGCCATCCACCCGGGAACCAACCCCGGCTTGCTCTGCTGGCGCAGAGAGAACATTAATGATTTCTTACCGACGAAGGAGGGCTTGAATTAATCAGGGATGACGTCTGCTGAAGGGTTGACAGCTTAGTCATAGTATGGGTCCAAGTTAATTCCAGTTATGCACTCTAAGTAAATGCACTTGTTCAATTCATTTCATTGCACATCCTTCCCTGAAAATAAAAGTCTCCAGTACATGAAGATTAGCGTGTCAATTTCTCAGTTGTCCGTGAAATGTTTTAACACATTCGGATCGGTGTCTTCTCCGAGAGAGACCATTTTTGTCTCTAGTGTTGGCGCCATCGAAATGTGTCAAATATGTTCATAATATAGTGGTTGTAGATCATGTCTAAAATGATGACTGGGGGAGCATGGGTAAAATTTGTCTCGAAATTGAACACTGAAAAGAAGTCATGTTGGGACCAGTGCAATTTCTTAATGTTTTACGATAATTGCATTGTTCAGAGGCCTTCCCATTTGTACTTTTAAAACTGTTTGTATAATGCTATTGCGTTATTTCTTAAATCTCTCAAAACGACTCCTTGATAACCCAGGGTGTTAGGAAAGTTTAGCTGCAATAACATTTTCTGGCTTTTTTTGGAGGCGATTAGGTCAGAGATTATCCCTTTTTAATCATCAAATATGGGACAACTTAAAAGGGTAGAAAACAGGAATAATAGACCCAGATACTCAGACAGATCTCAAGTTCTCAACCCCCCCCCCCCCCCCAAAAAAAAACCTCCAACCACGACAAGAATGGTAGTTACGGATAGGATAGAAAATTCAACATTTATGAGAAAAAGATACTGGAATGTATACAGGTCGAGTCAAAAAAGGAAACCCAAATAGCAGGACCATTTTTGTAATGAAATTCTGCATGGAAAGCCCAATTAATATAATTTTTTTTTAGTAAAAGAATCATTCAAGTCACTCGTGTACTGTGACGGAATTTTGAACATAAGCACTGTTTTAAAGTTCTGTTCACGGATCACAAAAAAATGAAGTGTTCTTTCTGCAAAACGAAAAATATTCACGTACATCCCTATGTGAATGTTTTCGTTTTGCTGAAAGAACAACCAAATATATAGCGCCGCTTATAGCGGCGCTATATATTTGGTTTATGGGTTTTCTGTTACAATATACCCAAAAACTTGCTCATTGAAAACATTTGTGAGAACAGTTTGCCCATTGGCTTACTGTCATGTATGACACTACAACGAATCACCAAAGAAAAGAATTAAACTTTACGACAGCAAAGTGTCCAAAATTCTGGCAACTGATGATATAACTGTTAAATAGAGGTTTCTGAAATGACATCACCCTTTTGCTCACGAATATGTAAATTCGCATATTAACCAAAAAGGCACCAAAACACCCTTGTAAATGGCAAAATAAAAATTGAAAATGTGGTCAAATGGGATACAAAGGTGCTCTTTCAAGGACTGCATTTAAAAAATAATACATTACATGAGGCCTTTTTACTACATGAATTATAGACGCGTAGGCTATATGGAACGTATGGAAAGGAAGAGTGTGTCGTGTGGATGCACCGCGCGCGGAAGGACTTGGGAAGCAAGTCTAACTTCACTCGCGCTTTCTTCAGTTGCAGACCTTAAAGATAGCGCCATCATGTTGGCTTCAACGAAGAGCAGGATTCGGGAAGAAAAGCACAGCTTATTCCAATATGATCAATAACTTATTTGAAAATCCCTGACAAACTGATGGATGATGTTTTGATCTACCCAATTAACCAAGATCCATCGTCCATTTTCCCCCTAAGCCTTGGGCCAAAATAGATGCAACTGCACTCTTGGCAATGTAAGATTGCTCTGTTATCCACGCGGAGAGAAGGGGCTTGAGCCAGATTCGAGTCGGGAAATCAAAAAAGCTATATCTTTAATTACCCATTTTTACGGAGGGAGCTAAGGAAAATACACAAAGGGCTTGAAATGAGCACGCGTGGAGACCTACCGTCGAGCCTGTGCGACTAGCGAGTCTTTTAAGGTCGCCCATCATACCGACAGTCAATTCCAAGTGCAAACAAAACATCAACATCTTTATTATACGTCATCACGCCGGCTGGCCGGCTGCACTGACTAGGTCCCCCACGTCTTAAAGGTGTAGGCCTACGCCCGAAGTTCTGCATTTCTTTTTATTTTGTTTCATAATTTCTGCTCAAAAGCATATTTCAAAAATCAGGGTCACACCATAGTTTACATTTGCGGAGAAATTGTTTTGGAAATTCCCGGTGGATCTCATCTCACGCAGCAGCAATTTTTTAGACTTGTCTACAGGGCGAGTCAAACAGAAAGTGACCTGGATTGCATTTTTTCCCCTTAAAATGCAAATTTGATACGCCAGTGAAGTATTCCTTAAAAGAGCATGTTCTTCC